GGGGGGGGGGCGCGTGCTTCACTTCAGAGAAGTCTGTGTAATGTGGGTGGGCCGCACAGACACGCACACCCCAGGCCTGCGGCTGCATGGCAGAAGGCACGGTAATTGGGCCCTGGAGTCTTCAAGCAAGCCTTCAGCAAGGTGGGGGTGTTGCGGGCGATTAGCGTTAACTCTCTCAAGCAGACGCCTTGCACAGAACAGGGAACGGGAACATAAGAAGCCTCAATTAGGGACACCAGGCTCGCTTAAATCCCTTCCACCCAAGATACATGTTCCCGCACCTCCATGGAGGTGAGGGGCATCCAGCCCCCAGGTGTAAAGCAGGAGGGATGCCTGTCCACCCCGGAACCAGCACCCCAGCACACGTGCACGTGTCCACAGTGCTTCCTGCATCTCCTGTTCCGCTGCTTTGAACCCCTGGTGCTTTCAGCCTGTAGACTTCCTGGCTAGCTCCCCAATATTTAGGGCAATGCCCCCCAGCTCCTTGGGGCAGCATGCCAGGCCCTCCCAGTGACCACAGTGACAGTCCAGCCATGGCTTGTTCACAAACACCTGACGAGTCATTTCTCTCGAAATCTTCTAGGGCCAGAGACCCACGGACCTCCTTCCTCACACACACAAAACAGTCCACGTCAGATGTGGCAGCAACGCCTACTGAAGCTCACTACCCACATGCTTCTCTAGCATGTCAAAGGTCACGCGCTCTTTGACATGAGGTGAGAACCTCTCGCAAACATCCCCCTGGTCCCCGGGACCACCGACGTGCTGCCTCGTGCCTCTAGGGCATGCCACAGCCACCCTATCCCCCAGGCAGCTGTGTACTCAGTCCCCTGATGGGACCGCAAGGGCCTCCCCAGGTTAGTGGTCTGGAACCCCCTCCCCTAGTTGGTGCAGGCCCTGGGGGTCTTGGTGCTCAGAAGTGGCATGATCCATGAGCTCACCCCCTCAGCGAGCAGAGACTTCATTCCCTTTATAAGTGTGAGGGCAGAGAATAATCAGAGAGCAGACTGGCTGTCCACATCTCCTGCCCAGAAGCTCCGCAGAGCTCTGCCCAGCAACAGCAGCAATGGGGTGTTTTTTTCCAGGCTCTCAGGCTCAAGGAAGAATACAAATATAGCACCGCTTAGAGAAAGAGAAGAGTCGTGATAATGGATATGGATTGCGAGGTCTGCTCCCAGATCAGACACTCAGTGGGAGCACTAGTCATGAAATGAAAAACACCCCAAAGGAGAAGTTGTACTTTTCCCTCTTGGACACACACAGAAGCCATCAGGTCTAGCTAGGGGATGAGCTAACAGGTTCCAAAAGGAGCCAAGGCCTGGGCCGCTCAGGGACACAGAGGGCTGGACCGGGGGTGGGGGCCTGAAACCACACGGCAGGTTCGTGGTCAGCCTGCGACAGCCAGGTGGCCCTGCCACTTCTGACCATGGCATGACTGCCGACTGGGGGACGAGCTCCCTGAGGGGCCGATGTGATCCCCAGAAGCAGTGACACCGAGCAGCAGAGGGGACAGCCCCATGCCCAGCAGTGGCCCCACAGTCCCACCTGTCTCCTCTCCTGCCTGAGGGGCAGCAGTACCTTGGATGTCGGGGTCCTGCTTCATGTGCTCAGGCAGGCTTTCCAGGACCATCTGCAGATCACTGCGGGCCACACAGGGGGTCAGCAAGCTCTCGGGTGGGCAGCGGGCAACCTCCTGTGGCCCAGGTTTGCCTGCCAGCAGCTCCAAGTCCCTGCTGATATCTGGGAGAGGAGCTCGCCAGTACAGGAAGGTGCCGAACACATCCTGGGGGCTTCCTGGGCAGGCTGAGGACCCAGGCTGAGGGAGACTGCTGATGTCAGGAAGCTCCGAGGGCGCCCTGGGCCCTGGGGGCGGTCTGGCTGAGTGGTTTCCAAGCAGCGTGGAACTCTCTGTGGGGCTGTCAGAACTGCCACTGGACTCAGTGGGTGCCCCTGTCACCCGTAGGCCTGGCTCTGTCGGCATGCACGTCCTTGAACTGGGTCAGATTGGGGGAGGCACACTTGAGCAGTTTGCTCAACTAGCCACCAGAGCTCCTGCAAACCCTCCGGGCCCCCAACCCCAAGGCCAGCCAACTGGAGGAGAGAAGCTACTGGCTGCTCCCTCCACCACCCCACCCCCACCCCACCCCCACCAGGAGGATCCTGTGCTCTGAAACCACCCGGCAGAGGTGCTACTGCCCTCTCCATCGCGTCCCTAGAGAGGGCCCGTGCCTGACTGCGCAGGGCATACCCCTGGTGCAAGAGGGACTGCTCACCGGGGTGGCCACCAGGGGGCAGAGCTCGGGTAAAGAAAAGGTGCAGCCCACCTAGGTCTGCTGGGCACGGGAGAAAAGTGCCCGTGGGCCCAACACACAGCAGTACTGAGGGCTTCTGACGGGGCAGGGCAGGTCGGGCCCATCTTAAAAAGCACCTGTGCCCTCAGAGCGGTAAAGCTCCTGAAGCACCCACCGCTGTGGGGCGTGGCAGGAGAGGCCCACCCTCTTCAGAGGGGCAGGAGACACGGGGCAGGTCGGACTGCCACCCATGTATGCCCAGAGGGCGCTGCGTCACAAAAGCCCGTCTCAGGGACGGCCTCCTGTCTTTCCCAATGTGAATTATCGAAAGAACTTCATTAACCAGAAAGTAAGAGAAAATATTCTTTACAGGTTATTTAATCACGACTCTCAATGAATATTTCATCTAAATTTAGGAGACAGGGTAGCTTCATTATTCATAACCCAGTGGTCATGTTTCAAAATCATTATTGCAATTGCCTTTGCCTCTTCACATGATTAGGGCTCTAATACCCACCCTGCCCAGAAGGTCACCATTCCTGAGCCTCACACGAGCAAGCTGCCCGAGGCGCCAGGGCGTCTGGGTCCTGGCTGGAGCTCACCCGGCAGAGGGAGGGGCGGCACTGCTGCCCACCGGGGGGCAGCTGGAGTCCAGGTCCTGGGCAGGGGGTCGGATGCTCAGGGTCCCATCTTCTCGGATATACAGGCCAGCCCGGGCGGGATTTGCAAAGGTAGAGATGAAGGGGCCCAGGGACTGGAAGGCCGCCTGGCGTACCTGGAAGCCGGGGAGCGACACGTGAGCGAAGCATCGACCGAATTTCCTGCTCCCGAAGTGGTCCCTGAGGAGCCCCGGTGCTATAGTAGTGCGTCTGCCTCTTTAGGGTGTCAGCTCCCTCCCGCCTAGTAACAGCCAACCGGACCCAAGGACCCAAGGACCGGGCAGCCCTCAGGGGCTCCGATCCTCATCACTGGAGCATTATGGCTGGTGGCGTTTCCTTTACCATCCTCTCTGGCACTTCTGGGCTCCCGGGGTGGGGGGTGGGGGGGGCAGGAGGCAAGACCCCTGGTGATGGGGAAGTGTGTGTTGACTTACCCACCGGCAGGGGTCGCTGATGAGCCTGATGAAGAGCGGCGAGAGTTGGGTTCGGCGCACCTCGGGGGACGTGGAGTAGGACACAGCCATGAAGCACTCCGCACAGGCCTTCCGCATGCCCCACACATTGTCCGCGCAGAGTTCAAAAAACTTTGGGATCTACAGAAGCAAGGACCACAGGGGGGCTCAAGGTCGGAGCCACAAGTGACGGCTTCAAGGAGGAAGGGGGAAACAGGCAACAGAACTCCCAGAAGTTCAGACTCCCTGGACATGTTGACCCTGGACGGTTCCCGGAGACTATCTGCCTGGGATACTCTTTAAACCTCCAGCAAAAACTATCCCAAGGTCACCTTCCAGCAATGGAACAGATGGGCACCCAAAGTATATCACCCAGGGGTAGGTACGCTGATCCTTCAAAAACAATCCCATGGTGGGAAGCAAGGGGTCTACGATGACGCTAAAGCAGAAACGGGAAGCAAGTGGGCAGGGAAGCTAGATGAAGGAGCACAGGACTATCAGAATGGAACGAACGGGGAGCTGCTACGCTGTGAAGAACGTCATCGGTCCCACTGAGCCACTGATGAGGAAACTGCCACAGGGGGCCTCCATGGCGGGGTAAGCCTTCCCCAGAAACACAGCAGGACGCTATATTATTAGGAAAACGGGGTCAACAAAAGACACACAGAGCCCATTTCATGACGGGGCTAAGGCATGTCCTGAAATCCATGACAAAGCAGGGGAAATACATGTCTAAAAGCGGTCATTTGAAACACACAGAAACGCAGGCAAGTATGAGAAACACTCCCTTTGCCTCTTGGTTTCAGTAAATAACCTGGTTACATTTAGTAGGATAAGAGAAAACCCCGCCAACAGGCAGAATGACCAGTCAGTGTTACCTGAATTTAGCAGGTGGCCCGCTGGTTCACCCTTTCAGTGCATCCCTGGCACAAGTCTGTGGGTCGGGAGGCCGGCTGGCAGAAACCGAAAGTTACGCCAGCAACTCCTGTCCACAGGCATGCAGGCTGTGCCCAGCAATGCCCCTGAAGACTGCTCGTGGCTTCCAGCCGCTCTGGAATCTGCTTGTAAACCACCTTCCGCACTCGCTAGTTGGCCTGTCACTGTGTGGGGCGCTCATGTCTCCACCTAAACTCGCTATCCTGTCTTCCTGGCTCTCTCATCAAATCCACGAGTGAAATAGAATCTTTGGCGTGAGCTCCTTTTATAATCATCATGCTAGTCGGGATCATATCCTCTTCTAAAATCTACTCTTGAATAAGAATTCCATCTTTAATATGTTAGCATGAGAGGAGTCTCCCAGGGGTGCTGTCAGAGAGGCACTGGACTGGCGGTTCAAACCCACCAGCTGCTCCGAGGGAGACAGACGAGGCTGTGGGCTCCTTGGTGACCCTACACAGGGTGAGCGGGAAATCAACGCGATAGCAATGGGATGGCTGGGTAACAGTGAGCAGGGAACTCTTGTCAAGAACATGGCTTGACACAGACACACTCATGTTGGGCTGAGGAGGGGGTGGGTCCTGCCAGGCAGAAGGACCCTGGAGGGAGAGGGCAAGACTGAACAGGCACCTCGAGGGAGCTGACAAGTCACAAGGTGGGGCCAGAGAAATGGCTCTCCACGCTGCTGTGCGTCTGAATCACCAGGAGCTCCTCAGGAGGGCAGCGGTCCGCCCTGCCCTGCCCTGCTGAGCGGGGATCTGCCACCATGAGGCCCCAGCACACCCATGACTCGAATGCAGGGTCAGAAGGGAAACCCGCCAGGGTTCAGAACAGAGGATGGCGACTGGAGGCGGGGCAGTGAAGGGTGTTGAGAAGGGACAAAAATCCCCACTAAGAGGTGGTCTGGATTTTATCCCACAGACCAAGGAGGGCCCAGAGGTTCTGAAGCCCTAGAGTGAGGTGATGAAGCGGGATTCCAGAAAGGGCAGGTGGGCAAGATTAGGCAGGGCAGCTCAGACCCTGAAGAGACCTTGGAAGATCGACCAGCGAGGGGCGACAGCCTCATCAACAGGGAAGCTGGCCCACCCCTCAGAGCACGTGCCCAATGAAGCTGCTAACGTCAGGAGCCGTGTGGTCTGAGATGCCAAGGGAGCTGACATTGCCAAGGACGAGATTGTACGTGCCCAACCTGACATCCGATCTTGAGATATGCTGGAAAGGGTGAGTAGGCAATTAGAAGCAGCAAAACTCCACATACCAAAAACTTCTCAGTGGCGTCTTGTCCCACGGCGTGGCAAATGTCACCAAAATTCGTAGCACACACCTTAAAGAAACAAACAGCAGGCTCACTCATCTTAGCTGGAGGCCTGTCTCCACAGACTGTCCCCGTTAACGCAACGGGCACAGCATGGCAGCAGCTGTGCTACTAACTGGTCGTGAGGCCACTAATGAGCGTGCGCTGTGCCAGGCACCAGTGGGCACCACCTGGGCACCCACGGTGCATCACAAGCAGGAGATTTACCGAAGGGCGTGGGCTAGGGCTTTAAGCTCCAAAGTGAGCCTAATACATCACGCATTTAGTTAGCAGCAGGGCAAAGGGGACCCTTCATGCTCTCTGGGGCAGAGCAGTAAACAAGCTCAGTCTTGCCTGTGCGTCAGGATGGGGAGCCCAAGGGAGTCGGCCAGCTACGCCGCAAAGAGCCAAGTGGGAGATGGAATTTTCAGGGCGGGGTGCCAGCAGCCCCGAGACAAGGGCTGGCCGGGTAGTGTGATGGCCAGTGTCTGATGAAAGGCTCCACGGGCTGGGGGCAGCGGCCGCTGACAGCAAGGCACCAATGGCTGCCACAGACACACTCAGCACCAAGCCTGTCCTGGCTCCCTGCGTGTACCAGCACGATGACAGTGGGCAGCCGTGCTCTGACGCTGCCCTCCCACAGTGCGCCTGGGCCAGGCTCCCCTCCAGACTGCGTCTACTGGAAAAGGCCAGAACCTTGGGAGGACTTGGCTTTTAATTTTAGTAAAATCATGACTACTATGAAGTGATGGGGGTGGATCCCGACCTTGCGCACTTGGAAGAGCTTGCTGTCCCCACACAGCTCGCAGAACCGGGGCAGCAGCAGGCGGGCCACAGCGCTCTTGCTCAGCGTGGAGGCCATCTTGCAGATGATCTGAAGGGACAAGAGAAGGGCGTCACCTGCAGGCACGTGAGGCGCAGGAGTCCCAGCCAGAGGGGCAGAAAGGGGCACAGAAGTACACAAGCCCAGTGCCTCTGAGAAGGGGTCTCTTGATGCCCAGCAGTTCCAGCCTGCCAGGCACCGACCACATGGCCCAACAAGTAAAGGATTGGTGTGAACGCCCGGTCCTTCCACCTTCCCAAGAGCCTCACGCCTGTGCCTCATCAGTCCCTGTCTGTCTAAGGCTCGGAGGGTAAGACACGTGGCCGCAACAGGCAGCACTCAGACGAGTGGAGAAGGGGGTACTGGAATACCTTTCCACGTGGCACAGTGGAAAGAAGAGGGCATTCCTCCCTCAAGTGAGGGTTGGACCTGCCTTTCCAGGGTCTGTCTCTCAAGGCCACGGCCTGTTCTGCTTACTTACACGGCGTCGCTCCACCTCCAGTCAACCAAACCCACCTCCCTGCCAACCGAGTGGACTGGGATGCACAGCGACCCGGCGAGGGGGCGTGGCACGGGGGACAGGCAAACATTCCTGTGGGTTCCAAGCCTGTAACTCTTTACAGGAGTAGAAAGTCTTATTGGCCTCTCACGGAGTGGCTGGTGGTTTCGAACTCTTGACCTTTTAGTTAGACGCCAGTATGTGTCATCAGGGTTCCCTGCAAGCAAAGCTACTCTCTCACTGCGGCTTGACCAGACCGAGGAGAGGGTGTGAGCTGTGAGGGGAGGGAAACAGTCCAAAGTAGAACTCAGCCAATCTCACAAACGCCAACACTCTTCAGAAGAACAGGACAGAACCCAGAGTCTGTACAGTATCTCACCAATAAGCTCCAGCAGACAATAAACCCACAGCCCCGCAAATGGGAAAACCAGCATCCGGTCAAGAAAAATCTCAGTCCGCAGAAAGAGACCAGTAGAACAAGGAGTTGGAATGACCACACTTCTAAAGAACTGGAAAGCAGCTATTAGTTATAGGGCCGCTGTGAATCGGACTCAGCTCCACGGTAGGTGGGTTTGGCGCTTTGGTCTTGGTATAAGACTTCGTTTGGTCCAAGGGCTCAAAGAAAGCAGCCCTGTAACAAATAAACAGGAGGGGAAACTCATGAAGGAAATGGGAAGGACCGAAAAGCAGCAGGACTTCGAGTGACAGCCTGGTTGCTTGGTTACACTGGCAGAGCCCTGGCGGTGGTTAGTTCAGTGCCCAACTGCTAACACTGAAAAGCAGTCAGCTCAAACTCCAGTGGAGAAAGGCAGGGCCACCTGCTTCTGTGCATCCTAGCCATGGCCTTGCAGGCCCCACAGGGCAGCTCACGATGGGTCAGAATCGAACGATTCAATGGCAATGGGTCTGGTTCTTCTTGGAGATAAGCACCTACTGACCCACTTGCAGACAGCAACTAAAGACCGTCGCCAGAACGGACCCAACAGGCAAGGAAGCAGAACACATCAGCTGCAATGGGAGACTGAGAAGTAAGGACCAGCGTTTGTGCACAGAGCCTGCTGAAGGCTCTGGCTGCCAGCAGACTCTGCCTGCATGGAGCTTGCAGGAGCTGCCCACGGTCCTGCAGAACACACTAGCAGCTTGAAGATAAAAAAAAGGGGCAAGATCAGCGAAGGGAGGGGCCATCATGGCACAAGTCAAAAGCACAGGAGTCCTGAACTTACAATCCAATCCAGAAAGGGCAAAAGCCAATCAAAACAGAGGCTTCCGGGGGTGGGGTCTGCTGGACCAGCTCAGTGGAGAGCAGACAAGTCTTTTCAGAACGTTAGGGTGACTTCCTGGGGGCCTCCAAAGGGGCCACAGAAGTCTAAGAAAACAGAAAACTGTTTTGGTGAGAAAACAGCCTAAAGTGTTGCACTGAAGAATTTTTCCTTCCCATTACATCAGGGCACCTACTCGTTCTTTGAGGGCAGCGACTCTAAGTGGCTGTCCACGGAGAGTTTCCTGGGAGCCCTTACAGCCCTCGTCTTGCCCCTGGTAGGTTTCTCTCTGCCCATTCACAAGGAACTCGGCTCGAGTACCCCGAGGACTCTCACACTGCCATCTTGACTCGGTGACCACACAGCGAGGGCACACTGCTCCAGAAGTGTGCCCACCTAGACGGAGGTCTGGGTGGAGACAGCAGCTTTCGAAACGCTGTGATCTCTCTGTTTCACACAGGTGTCCAGGGCTGTGCAGTGGTGCGTATACAGATGGATCTAGCTGAAACTGGAAAACCCTCGGCAGAGAGATGGACACAAACACCCAAACGACAGCAGGAAAAAGGGAGGACCCTGCACAGAAAACACACGAACAAGGCCAAGTGGGGAGTAACTACATTCGATGTAAACAGACTAAGCACTAAACTAAAAGGCAGAAGCTGTCAGACCGGACCTAGTAGGCTGAAAACAAAAGGATGCATCCAAATATACAATAGGGTCAGCATGAGAGTGCTGTACTGGTTGTGTTAATATCAAAGAAGAGGTTCAGCATTTATGACTACCAAGAGAGACAACAAAATACGTTTCTTAATCATCAAAGGGTCAATAGATCACAAAGACAAGAAAGTTAAATTTATGGTGTGAAATGCTCAGAAGTCTTTAAAGAAAAGGAGCCCCGTGGCACAGTGGGGAAGTGCTGAGCTGTTGACCAAAGGGTTGCAGGTTAGAACCCACTGGCCACTCTGGGGGATAAAGAGATAGCGCAGTCTTCTTCCATAAAGATTGTTTCTTCTTCTTCTTTTTTGAAAAAAATTTTTTAAAGTAAGCTTAAACTTACAAATTTCCACTTTAAGCTAGAAAAACATATGCAACCTAAACTCAAAACAAGTAGAAGGAAATAATACTGAATATAAATCAACATTTAAAAGAAGAAGAAAAAGGGACCGTCCACTCATTACCAGCTAAGTGGACAGACCCCCTCCCCCCAGAAGAATTCACCTCAGAGGACAGCACTGAAGCTACAGCTCAAGGAGAGCGATGTGTCTGATCAAAGCACACAGGAGCAAACGAGGGGGCAGGGAAAAAGAGTGAAGCACATCCCGGCCCACCAAGCCCTGAGGATGATATATCTGCTCAGAGCAGCCAATACACAGAGAGGACCATAGGGCCAGCCCCACCAGGAGACATGACGTTCCTCCCTGACCCATAGCACCACGGGGGGTGGGGCAACATTGGAGACACACGGCGGGACTTGTGCCCACCCTGAGCCCACCATGCAGAGGCAAGACCCTGGGGGCGGGCAGCAGAGCAGCAAAGGGAGCAGAGCAATGAAGTCCCCAGGGAATACCAAAAATAGTCGACTGTGGGTGTGGCGCCCCGTCAGACTCGACTGGAAAACACTCGGAAAGGACAGCAAGTAGACCTTGAACTAGTTATAGTCTCTTCTTTCTTGTCATTGCCGTTCTGTGGTGGTTGGGGCTATGTCTTATTCCACTGTTGCTTCGCTTTGCTCAGTCTTGTCTTGGTGGACACTGTTGTCTCTGCATGTCTGTCTGGACAGGATAGGTGGGATAAACACACCAGAAGAGAGACCAACCGGACGACAGTTCCGGGGGGGACATGGGAGAGGGGGAGGTGGGGGAAAAGGAAGTGGTGTTAACAAACCCAGGGACAAGGGAACAACAAGTGACAGAAAATCTATGGTGAGGAGGGTGTAGGAGGTCTGGTAGGGCTTGATTAAGGGCAATGTAACCGAGAGGAATTACTGAAACCCAAATGAGGGCTGAACATGACAGTGGGACAAGAGGAAAGTAAAAGGAAATAGAGGAAAGAAGTAGGAGGCAAAGGGCATGTACATACAGGAATGTACATATATAATATATATGTATATATGACGATGGGGAAATTGATCTATGTTCATGTATTTATAGGTTTAGTATTAAGGAAGCAGATGGACATTGGGCCTCTACTCAAGCACTCCCTCAACACAAGAACACTTTGTTCTAATAATCCCGCACTCTGAGATGCTCACCTTCCCAACAGGATCACGATCACTGATGGCAAAAGGGTGCATAAACAAATGTGGTGAAGAAAGCTGATGGTGCCCGGCTATCAAAAGATATAACGTCTGGGGTCTTAAAGGATTGAAGATACACAAGAAGCCATCTAGCTGAGAAGTAACAAAGCCCACATGGAAGAAGCACCCCAGCCTGTGCGATTATGAGGTGTCGATGGGATCAGGTATCAGGCATCAAAGACCCAGAGCAAAAAATCATAATGTGAATGAGTTGGGGAGTGCAAAGTGGAGACCCAAAGCCCATCTGTAGGCAATTGGACTTCCCCTTACAGAAGGGTCGTGGGGAGAAGATGGGCCAGTCAGGGTGCAGTGTAGCACCGATGAAACATACAGCTTTCCTCTGGTTCTTTAATGCTTCCTGTTCCCTAATATCATGATCCTAATTCTACCTTACAAATATGGCTAGACCAGAGGATGTACATGGGTACAGATAAGAGCTGGAAACAGGGAATACAGGACAGATAAACTCCTCGGGACCAATATTGAGAGTAGCTATACCAGGAGGGAAAGGGAAGGTGAGGGGAGAAAGGGGGAACCAATCACAATGACCTATCAATAACCCCCTCCCAGGGGGATGGACAACAGACAAGGGGGTGAGGAGAGACATCGGACAGTACAAGACATGAAATAATAATAATAATAGTTTATAAGTTATCAAGAGGGAGGGAGGGAGGAAGGGGAAGGGGGGGATGAGGAGCTGATACCAAGGGCTCAGATAGAAAGAAAATGCTTTGAAAACAATGATGGAAACATATGTCCAAATGTGCTTGACACAATGGATGGATGGATGGATTGTGATAAGAGTTGTACGAGCCCCCAATAAAATGGTTTATAAAAAGAGAGAGAGAGAAATCAAAGTCAGAAATGGGTTATTTCGCTGAGAAAAGCATCCGAGTCAGCTGCAGGGGTGCAATACTGATAGAGACACAATCCCACAGCGGCAGACGCACGCACGGATAGACACAGGCGGCGTGGATGTGGAAGGGAGAGTGTGCAT